GAGCGGGCGGCTGTGGGGACTGACGCTGCTGCCTGGCGCTATGGCCGAGTCCGACCCACCATTATTTATAGTCGCCGACGCTGGGAAAGCTGGTTTCTCTGCTGGTCAGTAGCCGTCTCTGGGAGGCGGCTGTCTCTGTTTTGATGGCTTCATCCCATTGTCTGACCGACGTCCTCCCGCACCTGCTTTGACCTCTGAAGGAGGAGGAGGTGGGACATGGCGGTGACAGGCTTGGGCAGGCTGTGTAGGACCCCTTGGGTCGGAGCTGGTTCCCCTCTTGTTTTTTTATTTTTATTTTTATGATTTCAGAGAGGAAGGGAGAGGGAGAGAGAGAGAGACATCAGTGATGAGAGAGAATCACTGATCGCCTGCCTCCTGCAGGCCCCACACTGGGGATCAAGCGCACAACCCAGACATGTTCCCTGACAGGGAATTGAACAGTGACGCTCAACCACTGAGCCACACCGGCCGGGTGCTGGCTCCCCTCTGAGCAACCTCAGGACACTTTATTTCCAGGGAATATCACCATCCTTGTCTAAGGTTCTTCTTTCCAAGCCACCATTTTGTTCGCAGGTACATTTATCTCCTAGTTTAGATGAAAATATCGCAGAAAGGAAGGAAACCTACTTGTGTTAAATGCCCATTGTGTTTCAGATACTTCCTGTTATCTGTTATCTAAAAGTCGTAAGTCCATCCTCTGAACAGCTCTGCCAACAGATACTCATGTTCCCAGGAACCGAGTTGGAGGGAGGATACGGTGCAGGGTCAGGATTTGAACACAGACCTGTCTCTTTCCCCAAGTCCTCACTCGTTCAGTAATACCGTTTTGTGGGGGTGTTACGCCTCTTCATCCCTGGTCAGCAGGACTGAGTGACCCCAGCTTGCCCTCTGACCTCTCAGGGCTCCGAGGTCTGCTGTACAGAGGTGGCTGGTGGCATCTCGGGTTAGCGACCCTGCCCTTGGCCAGGCTTGCTCCCGGCCTGGGCGACCTCCCAGGAGTGACTCCTACACACACAGAATCGCCATCTTGGCCCTCGGTTGGAGTGGTGACGGAGATGCAGAAATTCTCGTTCTGTATTTGTCTGATGAACCTGCTGTCCGATGGTGATGAGAAGCGCTCCCGTGGCTTCCTCCGGGGGAACGCCGTCCGTGGCTCTCTTGCAAAAAGGCGTCTGGGAAAAGCCGGGCCCCAAAGTGCCAGAGACCCTTTCATCTCCCCGAGACGCCTCCTCCCTGTCTGCCGGGCCTCTTCTCGCTCCAGCCACCCCGCATCGCTGGAGACTGGGAGGCCTTCCCACGCCTGGGCTGTGCGGCCCCCTCTTCTCCTCCCCTACCAGTGTCCCGGCGTCTGAGCTCTGTGACCCAGACTCTGCTGGGCCAGCCAGCCGGGCAGTAAAAGGAGATTGATGCCCTCTCCTCCCAGGAAAATCCATCACTTCTAGCATGTGGGGCAGCTCGGGGCAGTACTGCGTGAGCTAAAAATAAGCCCAGAAAGAGGCCCGGATAGACGCTTGGACGTCAGAAAAGGAAACGGCCCACCCCAGCCTCTCCTCCCACGCTCTTCCCTCCCACCCCCTCCTCCCCGGGCCTCCAGGAAGGGCGCCCACACTTCCCCTCGGGCAGATGCTGCACCAGAGTCCCAGGATTCGCAGGTGAGCAGCTGGGCAGGAGAAGCAGGGGAGACGGAGGGTTGAGCTGCTGTGGGCCGCGTCCTCTTGGTGGCCACAAAGAAGGAATTCACAGGACATGCAGTCTCGGGTAATGGAAAGAACGCAGGCTCGGAGCCACGAGAAGAAGAAAGAGCCCTTCCTTAGCCGTGTTTTAGCTCTGGGGACTTTGGAACGTTACCCCTGCCTCCATTTTTCCATCTGTAAAAGGGGCGCAATAACACGTATCTCTCAAGAGAATCGAAAGTTGAGCCAATGGTAGGATTGGGCACAAATGGATTCCCTTTACCCACCTTCTTCCTACCTAAGTTCAGGGAAAGCAGCTGCTGCAATGGTGGCCTGGGGTCTGGAGTCCTATTGGAGCCTCTTCCCCCCAGGGCTGGGTGGAAGTTCTCTCCTGGGGGGACTTACGATGGGATGGAGTCGGTTTTCACGTTCTAGTCCTCCTGCTGCCCTCTCTCACATCTCCCCACCCCCGCCCAAGCTCAGGGGTTGCTCTACAGACACTTCCCTCTGCTGCCGGTGAGCCCAGCCTTTTTATTCTGAGCTGCTGGGTGTTTCCACGTCTCTGAACGGGCTCCTCCCTGTGGAACGATCCACCTGCAGGTGTGGGGCCGGCACTGGGGTCCGTGAGGGTGGGGGGTCTGCTTCATGTTTGCCGAGAGCAGACAACTTTCTCGTCACGTGGTCACCAGCCCCCTGTTCCGTTCGGGCTCCCCGGCCCAGTCAGCTGGCGTGTGTAAAGGTCTGTAACCCTTGGCGTCCTCTGAGATACCAGTGCGTTCTGGTGTTTTCATGGCTGTTGGCATTCTTTGGCAAGAATGGGAAGCAAGGGCCAAGTCAGGGGTCCCCAGCCAGTGGCCGAGATGGCACCAGACTCCATAGCATCAGCGAGTGCCCGGGCAGCCAAGCCACTTGCTCCCACAGTGCCTCACCCGTGGGCCATCCCGGACCTGGTGGGGACACCAAGAACTCTGGTAGGGAATGAGAAATGTATAGTCTATTCTGAAAGGAATCGCCAAAGCCAACCAAAACAGTGACCGAAGCCTCGCAGCCACACCCCTCTGTCCCTGTCCTGTGTCTCCTCAAACTCACGGGAACAGTGTACCGTGGGCCTCCGTCTTCCACGGTCCTCTCTCGGCCAGGCCATTTGAGCCAGTCCTCTTGCCTGGCTTGGCCGCGCTCTTCCTGACGCTGATACGGGCATTTAATGGGCGCCTGCCTGTTGAACAGGTAACGGAGAGGCCGGTGAGCAATCCCTGGCTCGCGCCTTTCCTCACCGGCCACTTCTTCTAACGCAGCGGTTCTCAACCTGTGGGTCGCGACCCCTTTGGCGGGCGAGCGACCCTTTCACAGGGGTTGCCTAAGACCATCCTGCATATCAGATATTTACATGACGATTCATCACGGTAGCAACATGACAGTGATGAAGTAGCCACGAAAATAATTTTATGGTTGGGTCACAACATGAGGAACTGTATTTAAAGGGCCAGAAGGTTGAGAACCACTGTTCCAGCGCCTTTCCACAGAGGTGGGGGGCTGAGGTCCCCTCCTGCTCCCCCGGGCAGGCAGACTTTAACCCGGCTGCTGAATGAGCCGGGGCCCTGGCAAGGCCGCTCTGTGCACAGACCCTGGTTCTGGGTTCTCTTTCTGGACTTGGCGTTCGTGATCTCATTGGTCTTTCCCTCCGAGGAGGGTGCGTCAGGGAGAGGCTCCCCCAAATAGTACAAGCTGCCACATGGGTTGTCATCTCAGTCCCGACCTTGTGTCGGGGTTGTGCTCGCCGTTATAACAAGAGCCAGTGCGTGTCCGCGTGTGTGTGCAGGTGTGTCTGCCTGTAGTGTCTCCCGGCACTGGGCCGGGCTCTGCCTATGGACTAGCTCGATTCGTCGCCGCAAAAGCTCAGCAAGGAAGGTGTTGGTGTTGATCCCATTTCCCAGGCGAGGAAATCGAGGCTCTGGGGGGAAATAACGATGCCAAGCTCAAGAAACGAGCAAAGAGGCGGAGCCAGAATTCAAACCCGACTCTTAAATACGCCAGAGAGCTCACAATCCACAGTGCAGCCTATGGACCCAGGGCACGTGGACCTCACCTGGAGTCTGTATGAAATGCAGACGCTCAGGCCCCCTGCGCCGGGATCCGCCCCAAGCCCAGGGCATTCCCGGGTATATCACCACAGCTCCTCCCCCAGAATCCTGTGCACGCACTGGCGTGGGCTGTTTCCCAGCTTCGGTCTAGAGACCTAGGGGGGTGTCAGGCAGAGCTAGGATGTGATTCTGGGTCCGACTTCCACTCCACAGTGAGAAGCCGTCTCCCCGCCCAAGGTGGGGTGCTGCCCGAGCCTGCCTCGCCTGCCGCGGACTCGGAAGCGGGGCTCCCTGCTCTGGGGCCCCGTGCTCCCCCGCCCCGGGCCTCTAAGGAGGACAGCACTGACTCGGCCGCCCCTCTCTGTCCCTCCACAGACGTGCAGCACATCAAGAGGCGCGACATCGTGCTGAAGCGGGAACTGGGCGAGGGCGCCTTTGGGAAGGTCTTCCTGGCCGAGTGCTACAACCTCAGCCCGACCAAGGACAAGATGCTGGTGGCCGTGAAGGTGAACCCCAGAGCGTGTGGGGCCAGGAAGGTGGTGGTGGATGGGGGGTGGGGGCGTCTGGGGAGCAGGAAGGAGAGGTTCCCTCCTCCACATGCCATCGGGCCCTTGCTCCAAGGTCAATGAACTGTCCTTGGGACCCACACCCACTTGCTTTGGCGTCAAAGGTCCAGAGCTGTCACACACATATAAGGAGCAGGTTTTGCCTGGGAAAGGCCCTGGTTTCATTCTGGACGCCCGGGGCTCGCTCCCGTCCCCAGGAGGGGTCCCTCCTCCCTCCTCGGTGACCATTTCTCTGAGGAGACTTGGGTGAGGGTGGGCTCGAGATGCCCTGGAGCCGCTGCTCAAGGGCACCAGCCATCACTGGGAACGGGAGAGGGGAGGGTGTCAGGTACTGAGCGGGGAGAGCAGTGAGTGAGGGTGGAAAGGATTCTTAGTGCCCCCACGGGATCCAGGTGCCGAGCCCAGAGGGCGAGTGCCTGAGGGTGACTGCCTGCTGGCAGCTGCAGGAGGGGTCCATTCACCGCAGGGCTGCTCCGTGCTGAGCCAGCTGTGCAGCTCTGCAGCTCGAGCCGCATCGCCTGGAGCTGTAGCGAGCGCCTTTGCCCGCCCCCTGCGTCCTCCTGCAGTAAATCAGTGTTGGACAAATCGCTGAACATGATTGGCACAAACAAGAGTCAAGCCCGGCTGGTGTGGCTCAGTGGTTGAGCGTCAACCTATGAGCCAGGAGGTCACGGTTCGATTCTGGGTCAGGGCGCAAGCCCGGGTTTCAGGCTCGATCCCCAGTAGGAGCTGTACAGGAGGCAGCCAATCCATGATTCTTATCATTGATGTTTCTATCTCTCTCTCCCTGTCCCTTTCTCTCTGAAATCAATAAAAATAAATTTTCCAAAAAAAAAAAAAAAAAGTCAAGTAACCTCACCAAGGCTGAGAAAACCAGTGGTGATGGCTGTTGTCCAGTCACGTTTTAAATAAAACGAGGCATTGTCTGCCAAGCTCTGCTCTAGAAATAAATAAGGAAGCAGAGTGTTGCCCCGTGGAAGGTCAGTGGTGGTTACTGCTGGACGTCCTGGAAATGGACTTGGCTGTGGGTCTCCATAGACCCGGGGCGGTCAGACGAGACAGGGGTCTTAGAGTGGCTTGCACCAGGGATGTGGGAAGGTTTCTAATTTTATCCCTAAACTTAGAGTCTGCGCTGCCCTGAATCCTAATTTATAGGATGACACTCATCCGCTGGGCGCTGCAGCGCCGTCTGGGAACTGGTGAAGGAACGGAACATTTCTGGGCTCTGAGCAGGAAATGAAGTGATGGCCTGAAACCCTGGGAACTGATTCCCTCGCAGGGCCCGGCGTTGGGTAATGCAGAAAATGCGTTTCTGCTTTCCTCCCTTTAGAAGGCTTTCCTTCTCCCCTTGGGCCTGGGAACCCGGAGGAGATGGGTGCTCTGGGATGCCACACGCTTGGGTGCCCCGTGGGCCCAGCGGTGGTGATGGTGACCATGACAATGGCATCTGACAGACAGTACTCAACAGGGTCCTGCTGTAGGTGACGTGTGCCGGTTCACGCTTCATTCTCACAACAAGCTCAGAGCCCGCCCGGTCACGGTCCCATTGTACAGAGGAGGACAGGGAGGGACAGGGACGGGGGGGCCAGTGGTGGAGCGAATTCACAGCCAGGCAACTCCTCCCCTCCACCCACGAGGGAGTGAGACCCTGGCCACTGTCATTCCTGCCCTCTCTGCCTCTCCATGCTCTGTTCCCGGGCACCTCAGCGTCTTCAGCCGCGATTCTCCATGTGGTTTCATCCAGTGTAGACTGCGTCTCTTCTGTGGCAGTTTCTCTTTTAGCCTCAGTGACTGTGTAATCTATTTCCAAGATATCTAATTGGGTCTTAATTTTATTGTTATCTTATTTCTCCCTGTTTTTGCTAAATACCTCCTTGATTTTCTTAATCTATTTTTGTCGGTCTCAGAGAGGAAGGGAGAGGGAGAGAGAGAAACATCTCTGATGAGAGAGAATCACTGATCGGCTGCCTCCTGCACGCCCCACACTGGGGATGGAGCCCGCAACCCGGGCATGTGCCCCGACCGGGAATCGAACTGTCACCTCCTGGTTCATAGGTCGACGCTCAACCACTGAGCCACGCCTGCCAGGCTAGTGTTCTGACCATTTAGACAGCTTCCCTCCCATCAGACTGAACAGACCCTCAAAACCCAGGACTTGGGGTGAAAGGGAGCTGATGCCCAGAGGGGAAGCCCAGAAAGGGCAGAGTCCTCAAACTTCGGGGGAAGGGAGGTAGACAAGGGACTGAATTCCAGCTCCGCTGTTTGTTCTGCGGATCCTGCTCAAAGGGCTTCAGAGACCCCTCAGCCTGACCCATCTCCCCGAATCCCAGTGCCACCACCCGGTGACCCATTTTGAAGTTTTGCTCGGAAGAGGACCCCCTGGAGAGGGGCTGGGGAGTATCCGTGGGTTTCCTCCTAATTCTCCTCCTCAGGTCATCTCTGTCCCAGTGGTGTCAATCCTTGTCCCCGGCCCCCCCTTTGCTGGGCACGACCCTTTGCCAATTACATAAGCACTTCAGGTGTGACCCAGGAGCTGGACATCCATGGTGAAGGGTTGTGGGCAGGCTACGGGCAATCGTGGTTGCCTTGTGCCTCATCTCCTGGTGCCTTGCAGGGTGCCAGCCCCGGGCACGCTGGCGGGCACTGCTGGAGTGCTGGGAGCGGAAATATTCAACGGCAGCCTTTGGCCTCCAGGACTGCCGCGAGAATGATTTACAGGGATGGAGAGAGGCCACTGGGCTGGCCCCAGATGTGATCTGCTTTTCCCTCTCACAAACCCAGGGCTCACATAAATCTTTGTATTCTCCCATCCCACCCATGCTGGGTTCCTTTCCCCCTCTTGTTCTTCATGAACATAAATAATCACTGGCAGCCATCCTATACCCACGCCCCCGCACATGGAGTTCAGGGCTGCAGCCAGGGGCTGGGTCAGCGAGAGAGGCGCCCTGGGCCTTCTCCCACCCACAGCATCTTGCAGATGCCTTTGTTCTGGTTGTTGGCCTCAGAGCTGGTGAAATGAGCAATGGTCCGGTGGACGCCCGTCTCGCCTCCGGCCTTGGCCGGCCCTGCGAGCCTGGCATCCTCGCTGGGCCCAGCCCCTCGGCTGCAACCCACACTCCTCAGCTTCCCCCACCCTCTCCTCTTCCCCATCTTTTAACTTCTTGCCCACCATTCCGCTGGGGCCCTGCCTAGTGACTCCTTCGCCTGATACATGAATCCAAGCAGGTGTGCTGGGCAGGAGCAGCCAGGCCTCCCTTCGTGGTCATTGGCGAGTCACCTCCTCCTGCTGGACCTCCGTTTTCTCACCTGTAAAACGGGAAAGTTCCCATGAGATGACACCCGGCATTTTGGTCAGCAGCGGGGCCATTTAATCAAGCCATTTTGAAAAGAAGGAAAGGTGGTGCTGGTTGCATTTGCAGTGGGACTTGACCTCTGGTCAGGACACCGTGGTCCTTCGGGAGAGAGCCCTCCTGGAGGCCTCGCCGTTGACCTGGAGACCAGAGACCAGGAGACGCTGAGGCCCAGCTCAACTGGCATTGAAAACGTGTCATCTAAGTTGCTGTCTGGACAAGGCTGGGCCTCCGTTTCTCCAACCTGAGACTTGAGCAGGTGAAAGCAGATGACACCTCGGGCCTCTTTCATGCTGAGAGTCCACCATCTGGTCTCTAATGTATGCTAATGACTGACAGCGTCGATGGGCCTCGAGGTACAGTGTTCGCCTGTTCACATCCCTGAAGTGCTGTAAGCCCAGGCAGCCATGTGGATTTCAGATAAAGGGGTTTGCTGCTGAGAGAGAGAGAGAGAGAGAGCGAGAGAGAGAGAGAGAGAGAGAGAGAGAGAGAGAGATATCTCTGACCAGGTCTTTTAGTAACAGCACGATCTCCATTCTGACCAGAAAAGGACAGGTCATGGCAGAGAGGACTCTGCAGACCAATCTCCCCGTGTCTCGCTTCTCACTGACCTGAAAATGGTGCGAGAATGTCACACTCCCCCGCTCCCTGCCTCCTATTCTGTGTCAGCGGAAGCAGGCGGGTGTGGGGAGGGTGGGAGGCCGGAGAAAGGTGTCAGCGCATCTGCCCAGCTGTCAGCGCATCTGCCCAGCTGCTGCTCCTGCAGAAACACTGCCCCACCCCTGCCCCCCTTCACAGCTCGCTCCATGCCTCCATGGCAGCTGCCAGCGCCGCATCCCCAGGGCCTGGCCCTAGCAGGGCCCCTGGGATGTCTCACACTTTCCTGCTTTGGCCTCACCCTCCCCTCCTGGTGCCGAAAACCCGCATTTACAACTGACCACCCCTCCTCCTTTTATCGTCCTGGGCCCTGGGGCGAGTGGCCTGGTCTGGCGCCTACCCCTCACCCAGGGTCTCCCACTCCCACAGGGGCTGAGCGGTGGCATCCGGGTGGCCACAGGTGCCCACCCTGCCACCCTACCTGGGACTTTGCGGTGCTTTACCTGGTCCTACGGATCCTCAGGCTTCTTCTGCCCATTGCCGTTCCCATGGCTGCGGCCCCCTGACCTCCACCCCAAATGCTCCCTCAGCCCCTCCTAGGAGGACACAAGTGCCATTGACGTTTCTCTGCACATATACACTCTGTCACCATCTAAAGTCACGGAATAGAAAGGGCAAGGGGACTTGATCAAGTTGCCTGGTTTTGGGTAAACTTGGCACAGGTGACCTTACGAAGCTAAAGTGCTTGGGGCAGGTTTTCCCTGTTCATTTCAGCCGAGGGACCATTTCTTCCAGGGAACCTGAGGGGACAGGGCCTCTGCCAGGCCTCCCACCTCGCAGCCCCGCCCTCCGCCTTTCACGCTAGTCATTGGCTGATGTCGGAGACAGTGTCAGGAAACTGGTTTCTGGTTCCTCAGGGATGACAGTGCTGAAGGTGGAAGGGTCAGGCCTGGCCTTGTGGCCTTTAAACCCTGATTAAAATCTCATCCGTTGGGTCCTAGCCGGCTTGGCTCCACAAGTAGAGTGTCGGCCCGTGGACTAAAGGGTCTCAAGTTCGATTCTGGTCAGAGGCACGTACCTCAGTTGCAGGCCCGGTCCCCGGCCCTGGTCGGGGCACATGCGGGAGGCAACCATTCGATGGGTCTCTCTCACATCGATGTTTCTCTCTGTCTCTCCCCCTCCCTTCCACTCTCTCTAAAAATCAATGGAAAAATTTCCTCGGGTGGATTAACAACAACAGAACAATCTTCTTCATTGGGCACAAGCAGGTCTTTCTTCTGAGCACCAGGCTCCTTCTCAGGAGGGGGTCGGGCAGATCCCTGTCCTCTGGTTGCTAAACGCCTTTGTCCTGCCTCGTTCCCAGGCCCTGAAGGACCCCACCCTGGCCGCCCGGAAGGACTTCCAGAGGGAGGCGGAGCTGCTCACCAACCTGCAGCACGAGCACATCGTCAAGTTCTATGGCGTGTGCGGCGATGGGGACCCGCTCATCATGGTGTTTGAGTACATGAAGCACGGAGACCTGAACAAGTTCCTGCGGTGAGCCCTGACCCCTTCCCCCCCCGCCCCCCAACCCCGGGCATCCTCTCTGGAACCAGCAGTTATATTTGTGCCTTTGAGCACATAGGTCCAGGGGTTAGACCTGAGAAGCAGCCTTCCGTTCTTCTGCATCAGCTCCTGAGCTGCTGGATTCAGGCCTTCATCCCTGCTTTGGGGCCGTAGGCCTGGGGAGCCCCAGGCCTGGGGGCTCTGTCACTGGGACCAGCCACCGACAGAGTCCCCCAGTCCTAGGCCCTGTGTGTGATCCAGGGAGTGGACTCAAGAGTCTTCCTACCCAGAGCATCACTGCTGGGAGCTTGTAGGAAATGCAAATGAACTAGCTCCACCTAGCCAATCAGAATCCTGGGGGTGGGGCCCAGGGAGCTGATTAACAAGCCCTCTTGATGCTCCTGAGCCACATGTCTGGCTTCCTCTGCTCCTGCTCACCCCTGCGTTCCCTCTGAGATCTCTGTGACGTTGGCCAGGTGATGTGATCACTTTGTGCCTCAGTTTTCTTCTCTCAGAATTGAGGTGGGAGGATTAAGTGAATGAATATATTTAAGATACTTGGAGCAGTGCATGGAACAGAGTAAGGGCCATGTAAGTGTTAGTCTGGGTTTTATTAAATATTCTATATTAGATCTCTAGAACCTGGGCAACCCTAGATATAAATGAAGGCGTCTAGAAGAGAAGGGTTGCTCCCTGACCCCTGGAGCCCATCTGCTGTCGTCTTCGTGTGGAATCTGGATCAGTGTTTCGCCCACGTCTGCACTCACACAATACATTTTGCTGTAGACAGAAATAGGCCATAGTCGGCTGAGAAGGGAGATGGCATGCACTGCCGTGGAGCATTCCAGAAACCTCCTGCATTCTCTCTGCCCCTCGCTTCTCCCCGACCCCCGCAGGGCCCACGGGCCAGACGCCATGATCCTTGTGGACGGGCAGCCGCGCCAGGCGAAAGGCGAGCTGGGGCTCTCGCAGATGCTGCACATCGCCAGCCAGATCGCCTCGGGCATGGTCTACCTGGCCTCCCAGCACTTCGTGCACCGGGACCTGGCCACCCGGAACTGCCTGGTGGGGGCCAACCTGCTGGTGAAGATCGGGGACTTCGGCATGTCCCGGGACGTCTACAGCACCGACTACTACAGGGTAAGGGGCCTTTCCGCGGCAGGACGCCACGGCCGAGTCCGCGCCTCGCTTCCGTGTCTTCGTCATTGTCCATTAACCCCGTCACTCGGAGCACACGCAGACACAGCCACGCCCACACATGCACTCCGTGACTATCCTCTGGCCACGCCTACATCCTGGCATCTCCTCCTTCCCTCTTGGATGTTTACCTCAACCGCACCCTGACACTGAAATGCCATATGCATTGTGTTCTCACATGTATCATTAACAACACTCATTCTTTGTGCAACTATATATATATATGTGTGTGTGTGTGTATATATATATATATATAGATAGATTTGCATGTATATCCGCAAGTGCGCACACAGACAAACCCGACTGGGTGCTACCTTTCGGCACCTCCAAGTCAGGCCCTGATCCAGCCCCCCCACAGCACACTGGCTTCTCTGAAATTACCTGCTGACTGTGCAGCTCGTTTTCCAAGGCAGTTCTTGACGAGAAGCCAGAGCCCACCGTAAAGGAGCAAAATGGTTAGTGTCGTGCTGAGCGTAGTTCTCCACGCGGCGTAGGAAAGATGAGGGGGGGAAGCGCGTTACCACTGCCAGCGCTGGAGGGGGTGCCGGTTAGGAAAAGCTCCCCGATTGGGGGAGGGGACATCACGTTCAATTGCACATCATGCGGTTGTCTACGTTATCAGGTGTCTTATTTTGCTCCAGACTTTTCCCCCTTAGTCTTGGTGAATTATCTCCCCATGGATCCTTGAGTGTTTCTGACAGCGTTATTATTGCCAGGGAAAGTGGGCACGAGTGTCATTTAACTCAAAAAATAATGGCGGGAGGTGGGGGGAGTATAGGTGCAACCTGAGATACAGAGATGGAATAACTTCTGCAAACTGATTGCAAGTCGGTCGCCTCGAAAATATGGAAAATTTACTTCGTGGGACATTGAAGGGGCGAGGACTGGGGATGTGTGGTACAGGGAGAGGGTGGGGCAGTGTCTCCGTGGCATGGTGGCCATTTGTCTCATCTTTGTCAGGAGGGAATGACCACATTGAGAGTAAAGAGCCCAGGGCTGTCCCGTCGGCTCGAGCAGGTTGCAAGAGGCTGGGGGTTTGGCGTCTGCAGAGCAGTTCTGTCCGAACGTTCCTCCTGATGGCTTTGTCTAAGCAGGACGATAAAACCAGTCACTCAAGACCTGTCATGTTAGCCCAGGCCTAGAGAAAAACAGGATGGTTGAGAAACGCTCTTTGTGGTTAGAAAGTAATTTGTTCCTGGTGCAGACAGAGGCTGGCAGATGACAGAGCATCAGGAGAGGATGTGAAGCAGAAGTAGACAGACAGTGGGGGGAGGGTGTGTGTCGGCAGCAAACTGGTCGGTTTCTCGAGCCACCTGCCCTGTCCACCCCCCCAGACACAGAAAAAGGAGCAGGGAGCAGCGGTCGCCACAGACGGATGCCAGGGCGGGCCTGCCGGGAAATAACCCAGCAGAGCCTTTCTTTAGCTTCTAGGCCCGTGTTTTCCAGTCATTTTGAAGAGAGGCATCGGTGTGGTCCCCCCGGGCCCGTGGGTCACTGATTTCTCGGGTCTCGCTGGAGCTGGCACCGTTTAATTGCCTTTGCACTCCGCGTAATGGGGTTTGCTGGCCTGTCTGGCTGCGCTCGGCTGTGTTGGCGTTGATAAAAGCAAGGGCGGCTCGTTGTTTTTCTGTGCGAGGAAGAGGTTTGATTATGCCGGGCTGGTCTCTGCCGGCTTCACCGGGGTCTTGGGAAACAGCATCTGACCAGGACGTGTGCAGACTCGGCTTGCAGACTTGCCTCCAGGAGTGCACTTAGTATTTCTCGATTCCGATTTCAAAGAGGGGAAAAAATCACATCTTCAAGTGATACCGCTGCGCCCTTGCTTTAACAACTGCGCACTGCTGCTCTCTCCTCCTGGGAGAGCGCCAAGGAGTAAATCCGTCTCATTTCCGTGGGCACCAGGGCAGACTGGAATTAAGGAACGGGGAGCCGGGGGCGGGGGGGGGGTGTGCGCTGTCCATGTGCCAGGCATCCACTATGCCTTTGTCATGCAGGCCACGCCAGGTGTCACCTGAGGCCAGCTGGCTCGAAAATGCGCCTCCGGTCCCCAGGAAGTATGAAGTGGGAACGGCTAGCTGTTGCAGAAAGAACTCGGGGCGCCCCTGGAAAGCTGCACAGTCCACTGATGGAGGGCGGGCACTAGACTGTCCACATTCAAAGAGCAGCTTGTATCCCATCTTCATGTTCAGGTGCTCACGAGGGGCTAATGTATGCATAGCCCCTCCCCCTCAGGGAAAAGAGTAAGGAAGCCATTGGCCAGCGGTCACGTCAGTAATGCACCCGGAAGTCCTGTTATCCTATTGGAAGGCATCAGGGAGACAGGGGCGTTCTGCATCTGAGCCTGATTTGACCTGTGCTTACATCCCAACCCCACCGTCAGCAGCCATGGGACCTCGTGCCCCTTCCTCACCTGTTTCATTTTCCCATTTTACAAACAAGGACAAACATAGCCTCTCAGAGTCGTTTCGATGTTAAGCAAGTTCATTAGCACTAGGAGCCTGGAACACACTTCCTCCTGGATAAATTATTATGTATATTATATTCCTTAGTCCCCTGCACACCCAGACAGGAGAACCCCAGGGACAGTCTCATTTCCAGAGGTCATTCCTGAGTCGGAGCGAGGAATCTCCGGCCGCTGGGAAATAAATGGGTCACACAGCTGCCCCAAAGGGGTAGGGCCTTGAAGGTGACCACCTCCGGAAAGGTTCCTTCCCAGGGTTTCATCTTAGACAGAAACACTGGGGTGTCGCGCTCGCCTGTGCTGGTCAGTGTTTACAGGGTCCTGTCATGGATCTCCGAGCTACATCCGTGCCCGGCGGCGGCTTAGGAAAGATGTGTTTGCTCCATGTCCCCGCCGACGCCCTGGGAGAGCAGTGATTTGTTAGATGAGAGGGCCAGGCGCTGAGGGCTCTCTGCAAGCGGACCCGGGACCGGCCTGCTCCTCTCTGCTACCGTAGGGTCTGAGTCTGTCGGGCCTAGGAGCTTGCTGGTTTCTGGTGACTAATACAGCTAAATGCTGAGAGTTCAGGCGTGTGTGTGTGTGTGTGTGTGTGTGTGTGTGTGTGCGCGCGCGCACATGTGTGTCTGTGTTATCTGTACTCACCTGCCCAGGGCAGATTCCACACTGTGTATAGGAGGGCAGGGGAGAGGTAGAGATAAACTCCACCTTATGTTCTTCCTTTTTCATTTTTAATTTCTTGGAACAAACAGGCACCATCTGGCTCAGGCATGGGCGGTATGCAAACAGTTCTCTAAGGTGAGCTGCCTCATTTCCTGCTACACGTTCAGAGAGGGACGCACACATCTCTGCCTCGGGGTGCAGAGCCCTGTGTTCCCTCCTCGTAAGGCCACGTCCCATGGCATACCTTCCTCCCACGGCCACCAACGCGATGCTTCTGAGCTCGCCTCAGACCGGCGCTGGCAGGGTGCTTCGCGCCTTGATGCCCTTCTCAGAACGTGAGACAGCACTCAGAGCCTGCAGTGCAGTGCACATCTGGGATTAAAGAGAGCCTCCAGCCCGGCTGGTGTGGCTCCGTGGTTGAGTGTTGACCTATGAACTGGGAGGTCACGGTTCGATTCCCGGTCAGGGCACAGGCCCGGGTTGAGGGCTCAATCCCCAATGTGGGGCATGCAGGAGGCAGCCGATCCATGATTCTCTCTCATCATCAATGTTTCTCTCTCTCTCCCTCTCCCTTCCTCTCTGAAATCAATGTTTAAAAAGAACACTTTTTTTTTTTTTGAAGAAAGCTTCAAGAGTTCGGAAGAGGAGAGGTTGGGATTCCAGAAGAGACATGTTTTCAGAGGGAGGGAGGCCGTGCGCTCAGATCCAGGAGGAATGGGCTTGAGGGGCTCCGTGCTCTGATCTTACTTGTCTGAAGGGTGGGGGCTGCCTTCTGTCCACTCTCCTCTCCTCTGTTCCGAGCACAGAGCCTAGGATGTGTAGACACCCTGTGAAAATGTGGTTGAGGCAGGGAGCAGATTAGGCCCGAGCAAGAGCAGCCTGGACAGGCAAAGAGACCCTCCCCCCCCTTTCAGGTGTCATCTTTGGGGGCGATGTGGGGATCCATGGCCTAGGCAGCGATGGCGAACCTTTTGAGCTCGGCGTGTCAGCATTTTGAAAAACCCCAACTTAACTCTGGTGCTGTGTCACATACAGAAATTTTTTGATATTTGCAACCATAGTAAAACAAAGACTTATATTTTTTATTTTTATTTTATATATTTAAATGCCATTTAACAAAGAAAAATCAACCAAAAAAATGAGTTCGCGTGTCACCTCTGACATGCGTGTCATAGGTTCGCCATCACTGGCCTAGGCAATATCTGGGACAGTGTCCAGAGGAGGCAGGGAGGGTGGTCTGAGTCAGGAGTTACTCAGTTAAAGTCAGAGTGGTGTCATAATACAGCCACGTGTCCAGGAGACGAGGAGGGGACCTAGGTCAAGTCCAGGCCAACACAGGTGGGGGATCTAAGGCAGGTCTGGCAGCCGATAGCGAGGCCCCGGGTCCTCACGGGAGACTGCAGGTCACAGTTCCCGGAAACTCTGGGTGAGGGGACAGCGGTGCCGGCAGGTGTGGGAATCCTTCGGAGCCAGCTGATCTGGCTGATAGAATGTTTGATTTTGTGGATGTCAGGCTTCCCCGTGGCAGCAACGCAGGTGCAGACTCTTGAGCCCACACTGCCTGGGTGAGCATCTCAGCTCCTGTGATTCCTGACCCGATGACCTTGGGCAACTTACTGAATCTTTCTGTGCCCCAGGCTGTAAAATGGGGCCACAAGCCCCTCAGCACCTGCACTTGCTGTAAGGGTCAAGTGTTCATCAACGTGAAGTTCTTAGGGAAACTAATGCTCAAGAAATATTAACTACTCTTCTATCATTGGGGCTAAAATGCAGCGGTCTCCCCCATTCCAGCGTGGGAACAGCACTCACACAAGTGCATGCG